GCAGCTCCTGGACACTTCCAGACAGCATCCCAGGGCGTTTTTACCCAACTGGATGAGTCTGTCAAAGGACTACCTACTTCTCAATTTTCTGTCCTCTGGTGCCCCCCCACGGGTCTTCCTGAAGGCTGGGACTGCCTGTTCTCTGGCCTCTTGCCCAGCACGGGGCCTGGCACAGAAGAAAGGGCAGAGGGTTTTGGTGGCGAACAATGTGTAAACAGAAGAAAGTGCTGCTGCCATTGTTTGCACCACCTTAGTTTGTCTGACACAAGCGTTTTTTGGTTTTTTTTTAAATTGTTTTTTGTTGTTGTTAGTGTCCAGCTATCCTTGGGGGAAGCCAGCGAGAAGGGCCAGGGTGTGTGCACGCCCTGAGGAGGGGTCAGTTCAGGGACAGCCTTCCCCCCTTTGGCCTGGTTCTGGGCGCTGCTAGCTTTCTCGGAGTACTCGGTAGACACAGGGAGTGCCAGAGACTACTGCTTGTTTCCAGAGTTTCGGGCTTACCTGGCCCTTTCCTGGAACCACCAGCAAACAGGGACCAGAGACAAGAAGGCTGGGCTCTCAGGCCTGTTATGTTCATCGTCACCTGGCCCCAGCTCCGGCTCCCAGTCTAACGGAGCTGTTAGCTGTCTGCGGGTCCCAGACATAGCTTGGAGAGCCACGCTGTGGTTGGAGGGGACACAGGCACCAAAACAGCTATTCCTGACAGCTAGGGACAGTGTGGATGAGGCCAAGCGGGGAAGGGCAGTGGGAGTGAGGCCCAGGGTCGGACTCTATCTAGAGACTGTAGGTGACAGGTGGGGTCCCTCATCCACAGCAAGTTCTCGGAAGAGTGTGCGTGGTCCCGCCCACTGTCCTGTTGCATTGGCAGGCCCAGGCCAGCGTGGGCCCTTGAGCGTGACCCCTGGGAGGTGTCCTTTGCTGAATCTCCCCCTGCCCCCCTGTGAGCTTGTACTGACATGCAGGTGCCATTTCCCTGCTAGAGTAAGCTCCAGAGTAAGACTGGCACAGCTCACCCGGGTAATTACTGGTTTGGGTTCAATTTCCATTCAAAACAGTAATCCTAGGCTGTAGCTGGGTGTCAGATCTGAAGGTTGATTATTAGTAACATTTATCAACAGCCTCTCAGCTTCAGGCAGTTGCAGCTAATCTGCCATGCCTGCTCCCAAGTTGTGCAAGACTGCCAGCCTCTTCCCTACCCACCCTTTTCTCTCGAGCCCCCTTCCTCCTCTCCCCTCCCCTTCCCTCCCTTCACAGATAGTCAAGGGAGGGGAGGAGATGGGAGCCACCTCATGAGTCACTGTCACCCTATGCATAGGGGGCCCATGTGCTTGCTAAGCTCCTGTGCCTCGCAACCGCAGTCTTCATGTTGCAGAGTCATGTGAAATCTCAGTCGGTTTCTCTCGCAGCCTAGAGGAATCCCTGCAGCTGACAGATAGGAACCAGTGTCCTGGTTCCTCGTCATATGACATGTTTTAACTGCATGGGGGTGCCTCCTGACTGCCTTGCACTGCCCAGGGTAGGGTGAGGCGAGAGAAGAATTTACCTCAGTGCAAAATTTAAGGCTTTACCAGAAGCTCAGCAGTCATCAAAATGAATGCAAAAATATCTCTAACAAACAAAACCAAAATATTAGTGAATACACAGTGCAACCACAGACTTGCAGGACTTGGCCTCACTTGCCGCACTTTAATTCCATCCCCATGGGATCCTGTCTTTGTGTTAAAATTTTGATCTTCTCTTTATCACAGAGATTTTGGCATTCGTTTTGGTACAAGCATTATGTCTCTCCGGCCCACCCAGCTCTGGCCCTGCCGCTGTCTCTTTCTGATGGGCCCTCAGCTCTGCCCCCGTTAGTGCTCCTGTCTACTACTGCCTTGCGCAGGGTGGCTCAGCTTCTTTCTGAGTAGGGGCCCCGTGTGGGGACCCATCCATGGCTGTCCTTGGGTGCCCATCCCCCCACTCCATCCCTCCGGATGCTGCTTCAGCCTTCAGACACCTCAGAGAGAGCCAGTAGGTTCCCATGGCAACTGCAGTGGTAACTGGAGGACAGATCATGCTGGTCTTGCTCCATGGCTATAATCACGTCCAGCCAGGCCAGTGCAGGCATGCCCGGCTGCACCATCAGCACGCAAGTCTGAAAGGAAGCCGAAGCATGGATGGATGTGTACAGGGGTGGAGAACATTACATTTGCCTGAATTCCTCCCAGGGAGAGGACACTGTGTGGCTGAGGAAGGCTGTGCTGATCCGGTTGTGACAGGGAATTGAAATTCTGAACTAGACATGCATGTTTGCTAATCAGCCTTCTGTGGCGGGTGGGTCTTCTTCAGGGCAGGGCTCCTACAGTGCTGAGCAAGTCTGTCAGCAAAGCACCCTGACCCCAGGGTGCCCCCTCCCCCACCCTCCTGTGGCTGTGCTCCCCTTGTCTAAAGGATAAACAAATGCTTCAGAAAGGTCAGTGCAAAGGTGCCAAGATGACAGACCACGTCCAGAACTTGAGGCAATGTCATGCAGTGCTAAGAAGCCTCTCACCCTGTGGGCCAAGGGTCTCAGGTGACAAAGCCTCAGAAGTATCTCTGTCCTGCCTGTTTTATACCATGACCTCCCTTGTGAACTTCCACTGCACTACAGAACCAGCTGGTCACCCCACCTGGCAGTAGTAGGTCATCCTGCCCATCTAAGGATAGGAATTGGTCACTGCCCTTGCAGAGCATCAGCTCCCTCTTCTGTGAGATAGCAGACCTGGTGCCTTCCTTCAAGGGCTGTGCGCCCCATTGAAGGAGCAAATGCAAAGTGCTGTGACAGCCGGAGCAGTCTTGTTCTATGGGGCCTTGAAGGACAGAGCCCAAACCAGAGGAAGGTTGGTTTGGGCTTGAAGTGAAGAAGAATTTGCGGAGAGTCCAAAAGCACATGCTCATTGGCTTGGCTTTACAAGAGCTGCCTGCCCCGGGGAAGTGTGGCCCTGAGAGATGCAACTGGCCCAGCCCTGAGGGGCTCTGTGATTCTTTTTGACTAACTTTCCCTAATCGTGCCCCTGGCTGTTGTAGGCAGAAACCTCAGAAGCTGAACCCACAGCACAGCCTCAAGGTGAAGACGGGCCTCCTTAGAAGAAATTGGCTTCACCTGCAGTTGAAGAAGTCCCCTTTTGTTTCTGGTTTACTTCTGCTTTAACCTTATGAACCAGTGCATAAACCCGAGAGCTTGGCCAGGAAGGGACCAGGGAGGATCCAAGGAAGTGCCGACCTGAGCACCCATCGAGAGGCGCATTGACTCTGAGGGGAGGGTTCCTGCTTGCAGCAGGACAGATGTCTGAGAGAGAGTTTAGGAGAGATGCAGGGATGAGGTCCCCAATTCCAGGAGCAAGCACACATACAGCTGCCACCCAGAAGCTGTTCATGTGCACGCACCAACCGGAGACCCGTGGCTGGCTTGGCTCTGACCCTGCCTGCCTTTGAGCCTGACTGTCTCATCCGTAACACTGTGGGGCACAGGGTAGCGGTGCCCTTTCAGCTTGTGATTCTTCTCTATTTGGAAGACCACGAGAGCTGACAGAAAGGCCTCACTTTTGCACTGTCTTCTCCCTGCTATTTGTCTCTCCATAAACTATCATCTGTCTGCTTGATAGACTTGGGGCCTAGTTCTCCAGGGTCCAATCAGGATGGGGTTGGCAAGATCCAGTTTCGTTTCTGAATATCACTGGTCCCTTCAAAATTTGAAACTGGATCCCAAAGGTTTTTAATCATTGTTTTAAGTTCTCTTGGAAATTCTGGATGTAATGTTTCCAAGCTCTTGGCAGAGGATGGCCAAGGAGGGGAAGAAGTGGACTGGAGGTAGGAAAGGGAGAGACTCGTGGCTGGCGGGAGCCTTAGCAGGGTTAAGCAGCTGAGAGTCTGTTCTGAGGCGGTGGGGAACCTCGGAAGGGGCTCAGCAGGGCGAGGGAGGGCGTCACCAGATTTTCATCTACAAGGTTCACTGTGGTGCCAGTGGAGGGTGGGTTTCAGAGGAGCAAGCTAGTGTCTGGCAACCTCAGAGTAGTTTTGCGGGGAAGAAGGTGGAGTTGAGAAATACTGGAGAACATCAGAAATGTTCCATGGTTGTCTGCACTGGCAGAGGAAAGAGGACAGGGCACAGCAGGAAGCTATGATGGCACCTCAGGAGGCTGCCTGATGTGGTTCCTGAAGACGGGGGTGTAGAGTGAATGGTCAGACTCACAGGAAGTCCGTAACTGCATGTTCCAGTGTGAGAGTCCACGTGGTGTCCGAGGTACTGTGTCCAGGAAGCAAGGAGGGAGAGAGTTTAGAGTCAAGGGGAGGGCTGGGCACACCATGTAGGCCTGGACATTCTGTGTAAAGGCTGGAGGTGATGAAGCCATGGCAGGGGCTGAGATCACCCTGGTACACTTTAGCTGGAGTGAGAAGACGAGGCTGAGGTCACAGACAAGCACACATTCAAGCCCCCCTAGGCCTCTAAAAGGCACAGTGTGTGTATCCTGGCACAGGCTGGGCACACACAAGACAGCAAGCACGGTGTCCTCTGGCTGTGGTTTCTCCAGATGGGGCCTTTGTCCTCAGTGCACTTGACTCTGCCTGGGTTGCTATAGTAACGTACAGAAGCAGGGACATATGGTCTGTGTTGCCATGGAAACCAGCAATTGGGTGTCCCTGTGTGGCATGGCCCCTGAGACCTGAGGGTCTGGTCTGGTCCTGAAGGATTTGAGGGGGAGAGGAGACCAGCAGGAGGTTTTTCATGGCCCAGTTAATCAGCGATGACAGTTGTTAATCTGACTGTTGCCATGGTGATGAAGGGAAACACCCGAGTGGGCTCGTGCTGGCTTCCATCCTGAGCTAAATACAAGGAATTTCACCAGGCTCCAGGTCTTCGTGAGCAGCCTGAAGCAGCACCATCCCCCAAATTCACTGCATCCTCTGGGCACCATGGGGCCAGGACACCTTTGCCTTCTTTCCGGGTTTGCACCCTTTTGCCAAGACAGGGCTTTTGTTCCCAGGAGGCATTCCCTGGCCCATGGGATCTCAGCACTCAAAGCACAACAGGAAACCCGGGCCCTTGAAACGGGGTCACCGAAGAGATCGGTAAGCACTCAACACCCCTGCTTTAGCCCACGGACCCCACCCCCGAGCCACCTCTACCTGTCACCCTCACTGGCCTCACCCCATCCTGTTCCATGGCCTCCCTTTCTTCCTACTGCTGCTCCCCTCTCACCACGTGGGGTCCCCCAGCCTCCCCCTCAAACCCGTTGGGTTCCAGGCAGGTGGTGGGGAGGCCTTACTACGCCCTAGCATCTGTCCAGATCTCAGGAGGATCCTCCTCTACACTCCCGCCCTCTGCCTCTTTCAGTGGGCTCCTCCTTCGAGCCTCTGCCGGCCCCTCCCACCTCCATGATCCATCCCCACAGCTCCAGCCACTGCTGCCCTCCTTCTGTCCTGCACCCGCATGCTGTGCAGCACCCCCAGCGTGGCACCCCGGGAGAGTCCCTCTGCCCTGCTTCATAGCTTAGCTCACCTCCTGAGATGGCTAAGACAGAAGCACCGAAGGCCCCGAGTGACCTCGGCCTGGCTGCGCAACAGGTGGGGATGAGGAGGTGAGGCAGCAAGGGTGTGGAGAGTCACGCCTTCTTTTCCTCCTAGGAGATCAAGCAGGAGGAAGTACTGGAAGGAAGGAAGGGAGATCGCTGGGTGAGCTGGCTGGAGAGGAGGGAGTGCTGCAGCCCCTGGGGAAGGCCATCCACATGTGACTGTGCCGGGAGGGGAAAGGAGGGCACAGGCAGCTTGGTAGCTGTGGACCCCATTTGTGTGTGTGTGTGTGTGTGACATGGACCCCGTTTGTGTTAGGGTGTGTGTATGGCATGCGTTTAGGGAAGGTGAAGTCTGCACTTACTGTGGCTGCTGTGGGCTTGGTTTGTTGCTCACATTTCCTGTGGTCCTTTCGGCCTGATTCTAGCCAGGTGGTGCTAATGGGAGACCCAAAGGCCTGGGCTGTTTGTGTCCATGCCCTGGAATTCAGCCAGACTTCCCCAGGCGGGAGGTATCCTCCAATGCCCAAGAGTCACTGAGGGATGCTAGAGCCTCCTGCCCCACTGTCCATCTACCTAGACCTGGATATGCCCTGACCAGGCTGTAATCCCCAGGCCTGTCTTCTGCGGTCAGGAAGACCCTGACCCAGAGCTCCTGACCAGGACCTCATTTGTGGTCCCTAGGATGTATTTCTTAGCCCAAGAGGCTCATAAGAAATAGCTACCCTGTGAGGGGCCCTGCTCAGTCCTGGCTACAGATGAGGCAAGATGGTGAAATGCCGTCCCTAGCTGCAGAGTAGCTGCTGAGAGTGCCCAGCACCTGGGGAATCTGCCTGCTCCTCGAAAGGACCAGAGAAATAGGGGGCATCTGAGACTCTGATTTGCACCCTCACGGATATTGGTCCTGGGACACTGATGAGATTCGTGATAATTTCCATGAAAGGGAAACTCTGTGGAGAACTGGGGGTCTCAGGTGTGGCCCCATGAAAGGGGCCTCCAGTGCTTCCTCTTTTCTTCACACAGCCTCAGACCAGGTTGACTTTTTAGCCTAAGGAAAGTCCCAGGAAGAGAGTTAGGTGGGGGAGCATATCACCTGAGCCCGTTCAGAGGCTTCTGGAGGAGAAGGTGGGGGACGGGTGCTCGGCGACTTCCCCGAGTCTCTGCTGTGGGGATTGTAATGGGGCTGGAAGACCCCAGCTCTGTAGCTGGTGTGTTTTCCACACCATGAGTTGGTGAGTCTTTTTCCTGCACCCACCATCCTGTTGACTGTCAAGGCTGCAAATGTCTTTGAGATCCCACATCCAGCCCCTTATTTAACAGGCACAACCAAGGCTTCAGGGCAAGGTCACAATGCAAGTTCATGGAGAGTCAGAACTAGAACCCGAGAGCCCGGGCCACCTGCTCAGAGCTCTTTCTGCACACTGACGATGAGGAAGCCTACTTCACTGTGTGGGAGACAGAGGGGCTTACTGGGAGTGAGTGGTCCTTCGGCTATGACCTTGCCTTCCATAAATGAAGGTCCTGGCCATAATGTGGACTGTGTATCTAGAGCTGATGGCTGGCTAGCAGGGATTCCTAGCCCTCTGGGATTTGGTTCCTCTCTATACCAGCACCACTCTGGCTCTTCCATGTGAAAGGCTCTTCCAGTGTCCCTTACTGCCTGGCAAAATTGTGTAATTCAAGAGGGTGCTAACAAGCTGAGATTTCACCTGCGGTGACCAGTCCTGTATGGGGACAAAGGGGAAGTAAGGAACCAGAGAGCCTCAGGGTTGAGGGCACATCTCTGTGGGTGGGGAACAGTTATGGCTGATGGCACAGTCACACAGTCCAGCCACTTGGGGATTCAGGAGAGCGAGAGAGCCTTGGCTCTTGGGTCATGGTGTTTCCTCCTAGGTTTTACCGCCATACTGGGAGCTTCTGTGTCCATGAGGACAGTGGCTCCATACCCCACTCCCTGAGTTCCTCTTGTCTTCACTTCGTTGAATGCCACCTTCATTTCATCCACCCACTTCTGGCATCCTGTCATCATCTGAAACTCTTGCACTTCTGAAATCTTAATCTCTTGTGTCTTTTTATGGATTTCATCTCCCTCACTGACACTGTGTCAGATCATAGAGATCTTCAGGCTCTGAGGTCCTGTTTTTCTCCTTGTCCTGACCCAGCTTCCTGTCTGGACCTTGTATCGTGTCACTGAACCTGCTCAGCTCTCACCACCTGGCCCAGCCCAAACTTAGAACTGCTAACTGCCTGCCTTCTCTAGAGCGGGTTCCTGTCCTTTCCTGAACTGACACCAGACTGTATTGATATCCACAGCCTCAACTGAGCCCCAGCAGCACACAGCAGACCTGCTGCCTAGGCTACTGCAGTTCCCCCACGTTGATTTCAAAGCTCTCACATTAGAACCCTCTGCCTTCCCACACCACAGCTCCTCCGTGTATTTGCAGCAGTCAGCCTTGACTCTAACCCTGCAGAGAAAAGAAAACTGGTCAGGAGAAAATTTCTACAATCTCTGCCCTGGGCTCCAAGCTTAGCTGCACGCATGCCTCTGGCACCCATCACACTGAGAGGCAGGTGGCCCTGCACCAGGCGGCCTCCTCTCCAGGGATCTGATAACCTCTCCTTGGCCTCCAGGTGCCTCGCGCTTGGCTTATCCTTTCTTCCTGTGGATCTTCATGCCCCTACTCTACTGGCACCTTCCACTGTAACCTACTTAAAAACCAACCCAAAATACCTCGACTTCACAGTCTCCCCTCGCTCTGTCCTTCTCCAACAATTGAAATCAAAGGCAGTGTCTGCCATCTCCACTTCCTCACCTCCCGCCGAGTCCTCAATCCTCTGTGCCGGACTTCTGCCCCCACTTCGCTACTCACACAGCGCATGCCAGGGACGCGTGTTATAAATCCAGCAGAAGCCTTCAGTTACTGCTCTACCTCCCGGCAGCTTTTGACAGAAGGGAGCGCACTTTGTAGGCCACTCTTCCTAGGCCCCCGTGACCCACACCCTCCTTGTTTGCTGTCTACCACTCTGATGATTATTCCTCAGTCTTTTTCACGAGAATTTCTTCTCATACTCTTTTCTCTTACACTGATTTCCAGTGATCTTACTGATGACCAGGGCTTATAATTCCAACTCGGAGCTGCTCCCCAGCCCTTTCTCCTTAGTTTTTTTATTTTTTGATTTGATCCATTCTTCCTTCCTGTGTATTGAAGTTTCATTCTTAGGTTCATGAATGTTTAAAGTTGGTATGTGTTCTCAAAGCACTTACCTTTTCATCAATATAAAATGTCCTTTTCTTTCTTACGTATTTTTTGTAGCACTGAGATTTGAACCCAGGGCCTTCTCACTGCACGACATTCACAGCCCTTTCAAAAGTTTTTATTTCACAACTGAGTCACACTAAGTTGCTAAATTGCCTATGTTGGGCTAGAACTTGGAATCCTCCTGCTTCAGCCTCCCAGGATGAAACGTCCTTCTTTAGTCTTGGTAATATTTCTTAAAGTCTATTTGGTCAAATATTCATACAATCACCCTGACTTTCTGCTGATTAGTGTTTTCATGGTATATCTCTTTCTACTCTTTTACTTTTAATCTCACTGGCTTTATATTTGAAGTGGTTTTCATTTAGACAGCATATAATTGTGTCATATTTATCCATTTTGATAAATTTGGCTATTGGTTCGAATTGTTCAGAGTGTTTACATTTTCTGTTATTATCAATATGGCTGAGTTTAAATCTGTCATCTTTCTATATGTACCCTGTTTGTCTCACCTGTTCTTTATGCATTTTTTCCTTTTGCTTTTTTTGGGATTAGATTCTGTTTATGTTTTGTTTTGTTTTGTTTTGTTTTGTTTTGTGGTGCTAGGGATTGAGTCCTGTATATACTAGGCAAGTGCTCTGCCACTAGTTTGTACCCAAGCCCTAGGATTAGTTATTTTTATTCGTGATTTTATTTTATCTTTTATTTTTATTAGCCATAGCTTTTTATGGTTCCCTGTGTTTGTGTTTTTAGTGGTTGCTCTAAAGTTTACATATATATCTTCAATTTACATAGTCTACTTTCAAATAATATCATTATAAATATCATAACACCCTCACAACAATTTCATTCCCGCTTGGTGCTTTTACTGTCATACATTTTGCTTCTACCTATGTCATAAACTCAGCAATACATTTCTATAATTTTTGCTTTTTTTTTTTATTTTATTACTTTGTTTTATTTTTTTGGTACCAGGGGTCAAACAGGATCTCATACTTGCCAGGCAGGTGCTGTGCCACTGAGCTAAATCCCCAGCCCCATAGTTTTTGCTTGAATAGTCAATAATCTTTTCAAAAAAAAAAATACTTCTATTGGGGTAGAGTTCATATACCATACAGTTCATCTACATATGGTATACAATTCTGTAGTTTGAAGTTGTCTGACCGTCACTGCAATCAATATTTGAACATTTTCATTACTTCCCTTCCCCCTAAAATACCATCTACATTAGCAGTTTCTCCTTTCTCCTGCCAGCCCCACCCCCAGCCTTAGAGAATGGCTAATCTGCTTTCTGTCTTTATAGCTTTGCCTGTTGGACATTTCCTATAAATGGAATCACATAATACGTGGTGTTGCCTCGTGATTGATCCTTTCCTTAGTAAAGTGTTTTCAGGATACATCCACACTGTAGAATGCATCCATACTTCATATTTTTATGTTGCTGAATGCATCCTCTGTTGCGTGGATGTATCACATTTTGTTTATCCATATATTCATGTCAAACATTTGGGTATTTCTACTTTTTAGCTATTATAAATAATGCTACTATGAATATTTGTGTTTGAGTTTTCGTGTGGACATATGTTTTCATTTCTCTTGGGTAGATGCCTAGGATCTATGTTCAACCTTCTGAGGAATTGCCAGACTGTTTTCCCAAGTGTTTGTACTGCTTTCTCTCCCTAAGAGTAGTGTGTGAGGGTTCCATTTTCCCTGTATCCCTTGCCTGTTTTGTTATTATTTGTATGTAGTTTGAATTATAGATGCCCTAGTGAAAAGCGATTTTCATTGTGGTTTTGGCTTAAACTTCCCTAATGACTAATGATGTACTTATAGGCTATTTGTATCTCTTCTTTAGAGTAATGTCTGTTCCAATCCTTCGTCTATTTTTAATTGGGTTATTTGTCTC